AGAGAGAGAGAGAGAGAGAGAGAGAGAGAGAGAGAGGACACTTTCGCAGAGGAGCAGTAAAATACCCCTGAGGGCGACTACGACGTTTTAAACGAGCTCGAACGGTCGGACGCTAGAAGCTAAAGCTTCAGACGAGACGAGCTTCGTCTCTTTTCCCTCGTCTCTTCTTAGTCCCTCGTGCAATGTTCGCCCCCGTAGTCTGATCACGTGCACAACGATTTCTGGAACACTGGCACGCGTCGAGGAAACGTCCAGGACCGTGTCAAATCTTGCTCTTACTTGAATGTCTATTGAACTTTTGAAATATCGATGCTTGATCGTAAGATGAAACGTTTCGTTTTATCCTGCTACATGCATGTCACCGGTGTTGTTCGAGGTTAAAGGAGTAAGCTTCCGTCGTTCTCCGACGAAACCAATTCCGATTCGATACCAATTGTTAGTAGTTCTTCGCGAGTGATTTTTAGACAAGACACGAATTACGTTTTACGTTACGTTAAGTAAGAATTTGCTCACCTTCGATCACGTGAACCATTACGTAAGCCGATTTAGCGTTGCTCGGCGAGCACGTGTAATTACCGCCGTGCGACGGTTTCGTTTTGTTGACCATTAAAATCGATCCGTTCTTGGTCAGCTCAACTTTCACGCCTGGCTCCTCGTCGTAATTGATCATGTGCCCCTGGCGATACCAGAAGACGTAAAGGGGCGATTCCGCGGCTGCCTTTAGTTGACACTCCAGCTGAAGGCTCGAACCTTGCTTCACATGTAAATCAGGCGCTCCTGGTATGATCGAGTACGCTTCTGTGATCTTCAAGAGCACGAAATTCCGTTGCACCGGATGCGACGTAACCTGAAATTTCAACGCGCATAGTTGCTTCGTGGATATTTGGCTCGATTATCGCCTCCTATCTATCGAGTGAACGTTTCTAGGTCGTTCTGGGAACGATCTTTTGACATAATTTTCAACGATTTTCGAAAGATGTGTCTCAAGAAGTATTTCAAAGTTTTTCTGTTTCTCGCAGAGAAAGAAATGTATCAAGGTGTGTTTCACTTTTGCGACAATTTGCCCTCTTTGAGGAGGATCAATGGCAACCAATAGCCTCAGCTGTGACCTTAAGCCGTGTCTTTCAAATTGACCTTTGAGGTCATGCGACGTGCAGAAAAAGTTTCAATTCTATTCAGCAATGTGCATGATCAAACGAGCGTGACATTGCTGTACGTACTAAAATTGTTGCATGTCTTTTATCACGAAAATATTCTTCCGTTATGTATATGGAAAGGAACGTTCCATGAAAGTCGCTGTGATGTGTTGCCGTAAATTTAAAGTATTGCCCTTGTTTTACGTTGGAATAAATGATATGCATGTGCAGTGTCGCAACCGAGTGAAGCACTATCGTACTAAAGAAGAGTGCCTTTTATTACACATAGATATATACATCGTCGAGTATACCTGACACTCGTATATACCCTCGTCTTGAACAGTGACTGCTCGTATCTGAAGTAACCAATCAGTACTCGAATGCATCACGACAAATCGTTTGTCGACTGAGTGGGTACTTGTGCCAACAGTCAATAACCGTCTGTTTTTACGCTTCATCCATGTAATCTGCAACGAAAAACTGCCATTAAATACAAATGCGCGTTCAATATTCACCGTTTTATTTATTGTAAGTTTTTTTGCGTGTCCATTATTAGGCGACTGACTCTTCGTTTCTTTAACGCAGGTCGAGATTTAGATGCAGAATGAAAAACAAAAAAAAAAAAAAATACTTGCATTAATACGTCCATATATGGTATATTAACTCACGTTAATATTAATACGAGACACCTAAATATTGAAACCGTTGTAATTTTCGAAAAAAATCACACAATAATTAGCTTTGGTTTATTTTAAATGTTTTTACCTCACGTAGCGGACAGCTAAGTGAAAATAGTTTTCTTCTCGAAAAAAGAACTGTCATAATATGTAAAAACGTTGAAGAACTTTCTTCATAAGACAGAGTCTAGGATAGATTTTGAAGCCTTCGAGTTCATTTTAGATTCAGTCGTAAGAAGAATTTTTCAATGGCAATTTATATCATTTTCATTCGAAGAAACAAAAGTATCTTCGCCTTCTCATCTGTTACATAAAATATAAAAATATTTCAGAATAAAACGAACAATGTGCATTTGTAGAGTGGAGACTTTTGAAACGAATCCAAGTTTGTTATTGCACGATTTCTCTTTACGAAATTACAACAGCTTCAACGCTTGTTTAGCGTCCGAATGTCAACGCTGTATGTTTATTAATTTTCTTCAGAGGGAAAGCACGAAGTAATTCACGGTTGGAAACGAGTGATGGTGGGATAGGTGTTAAAAGCATTTAGGTCATTTACGCTAACAATGTATAGGAAACAGCGTGTATCATATCAGGCAATGAGAGAAGGAGAGTAAGCTACGCTTGCGTCCAATATCAATTACGAAGGCCATTAGTGTACCCTAATTTCAGGGTAATTTTCATTCTTGACCATGCTGACCACGAAACTTACTCAATTTGTCCGACATTCGCTTCGCTGCGTCGCTTCGCTGCCTCTCCGTTCCCGCTATTTCGAAGAGTTGTCTCCTTTTGTTTATCGAAATTTGTCAAAATCGTCCTTGCTCACCATTATTATTATCGTCATTATTATTATTATTATTATTATTATTATCTTTATTATTCGCTACCTGTCTCTCGACGTCATCCGATTTAGTACAAAACTTGCGTAAGAAGTTGAAAATTGCTGCGGGAAAGCATGTTACCGGGCATTCAAATTGCTCGTTACGCGAGCAGAAGGCAAGTGGAAAAATGAGTAGGGGGAAATTGACTTTCAAACAGATTGGACAAACCTGTGAGTTGAATACGGCTTGTACCAAAAAGCTCGCGAGAGAGTTTCGTGCACATGCAGGCATGCACGTTACTCGTCATAATGTGGAAGCTAGTAACGACGTTCCTCTGAAACAGATGCAGCTCAGCCGTGAAATATCAGAAAATATATCACACACGGTGTAAAGTATCGTGACGAACTCGTGATGTATTTATAAACAAGTCGCACTTTGACGACGCGTTCAGCTGCACTCCTGTTAATTTCATTAAAGGTG